GGCACTATTCGTAACTTCGATCTAACTCTATAATGACAAATAGTGACCAAAGATCTTGCCGATGGCTACACAGAACTCCCATTTCACTTCCTCCTACACGCACTCTAAGTGCAACATGAGCTTCGGTTTGTTCTAGCAAGACTCCAAACACACTTTGAACTGGCTAGGAGCTTATACTAATTAGTAATTTCTATTAAAAACACCAACCTGCTGTGTCTTCATCCTTCACTAACTCATATTCAGAGGGTAAATGAAAGACAGAGCTCAAGATGAGTCAAACCGATTTTACATTTAGTGCTCCAATTACAAGGATCAGAAAAGGATTGGGATGTAATTACAAGGAGGTTCCTATTTCCTCTTTAAGGCCATTATTTGACTTTTTTTTTAAATCGGATCCCCTAATCGAATTGCAGTTAGTATTATAAATTTTACCTAGGAAGATGGATGCAGAGTTAGGCATTAATCGAAACAAGGGGGAATTAATGGTGTCTTTACTCTACTCAGATGTTCGCGTTAAAGTTGTCTTCCAATAAGCAGAGCTTATTTCAAATGGAGGACAATTTCAATTGTGCTTAAGGAAAATATTTTGTCAACCTATCCCTAAGTGTTTCAGAATATGTGTAAATAAATAATAAATGGGTGATGTATCAATGGATCCTATTCACATTAGCTGGGAACCGCAATTTGGGCATAATTCTCTTTTCAACGCGCAAAGCTGGAAATGTATTTTTAAAATTGGAATTTTCATTATCATTAGACAAAAATAATTACATTAACTTAAACCCACGATAACTATTCGCTGTTATTTACTCCTGTTAATTAATCTGGGAGCACAATTATTTGCTCTTTGGTAAACAAATCAAACATAACCGTGTTGACTATTGTATCTCCTCCCAAAACAATCGAGAAGATCTCTTCATACTCATACAGCAAGAAAGCCTATTAACCGGCAGTTGACTTCTGGCTTCAAACTACCATCACCCCACTGTATGTCAAATTCGACTACTTGCATAGTACCCATCTCACCTTTTTTTCTAACTTTGTGTAACACAGTACTCACCTCACCTTTGTTCTACCTTTGTGTCTGGCATAGTACCCATCTCACCTTTTTTTCTAACTTTGTGTCTGTCTCTTTTACGCCTTTGAAACACTCTTCTGCCCCCCCCCATCCCGACCTTTTTCACTTTGATGTTCCCTCCCATCTGTGAAGCCTGAAGTCAACTAAAGGGCTAATGACCATCAAACCGCCTGCCATTTGATATAAATAAATACTCTTAGAAATCAAAATGCCTGCCATTTGATATAAATATATCTCCCCACAATTAAACGCCTGCCATTTGATATAAATACATCAAATACATAAAATAAATAAGTAATAATATTTAAAGCCTGCCATTTGATATAAATAAATAAATAATTGGCCATGGCATGACTATTGATTATTGATTGGCTGAGGGGTCACTGCAGTCGTGGTCTCATCTGCTCGTTCCAGAATGCCCGAGTGACCAAGGGATTCTTCGCATCATCCATGCCATCTTTGTTCCCATAGGGTTTATGCTTAGTAAAAGCCTATTTTAATTGTAGTTTTCTTACCAAATTTAGTGACTTGACCTTTCCTTGAGTTAAAGCAGGTGTGAATGGTCTAATAATGTAAAACATTCGAGGTGTGGATAATTATCATAGTAATGACATCGGTTTGTCATGTTTTTAAAAAATATATGAGAGCTTGGCATTAATCTTTAAGTACCCACTTCCTTTTGCACTTTGACAAAGCGGATCTATTCTCTCTTTTCCTTTTCACATTCAAACAGTTTAACAATGTAGCAGTGTGGCGTATTGGCATGTGGTTTGATTTAATTCAATCGCAGTCTGGTCTCTATTTAGCCCTCACATTGGGTCACTCTCACACGCATGAGTACATGCTCACTTATCATTTACTCACAAGATTGGCTGATTTCCTCTTAACCGCCTTCCAGTTTCGTGGATGAACTAACCGAGGAAAAGTGGGTTAAAAATGCATGTACTAAGAAATACTTGGTAAGTGATGGAACACTGAAAAACGCCAAGAAACCTGTGGTGCTTTCAAGTACACCTTATAAAGCACTTGCTGAGTTGCGTTCGACTTTTATGAGCGTAAAAGCATGGTTGTTCTAAAATAAAATAAGACAGACCGTCATATATGAATCTATAATTTAAAATCCTGTTTTTAAACCAAGGACAAAATGCTACATTGATTTAATTTTTACTATACTTGAAATTCGGATAGATCCTCGATTAAAACAAATGCTTAGGAATTTTAATACTGCGAACAATCACAAGAACCAAGTCAGAATATAGAATACGAAAATAATTCTACTTAGACTTTCAATGACCTTCAGGTTGGTGGCTTCCAAAATTCGTTGCCTCAACTTCACAATCAATTCAAACACTACTGATTTCCTTGGTTTGTGTGTAGAAAGGGAAAATTCCAAACATCCTCTAACAAAAATTGTAGACAATTGTATATTTTTTGGCAGGGAATAATTCGAGTTAAAGACAAAGATCATTTGCAATTGTTAAGCGGGAAGAAATGCCATTGTGCCATAATTTGTTCATTGATCCATAATTTTAATCAAATCCTTGATCTTTCATTCGTACATATTCATTATTTAAATTTTTCGATGAGATTAAAATTTGTCATTGTACACATAGGAAAACTTAGTGATAAAAAAGATAATAGACTGGTCTCTCGATGATCTAAGAAATAATAACGTTAAGAAGAAGTAAAAATAAATCCGAATTATCATAGAACATTTTTACATGATTAATTTTAAAGTAGAACAGGAATAGTGGCGAGGTAGATGGTTATTTAAAATTATTAAAGATTGTACCTAACTTAAAGTATGATTTCAACAGAAATACTATGCATATTTCTAAGTTTTCCGAGTGATTTAAGTTCACGATGTCTGGAGGTTAGTTAGGAGTTGGTCAGAATAAGTAAGTTTTGTCGTTTTCACTTGTATTTCTCGTCTATTAGTTTAGAATTACTTGTTGAGTCTATGTAATACCATGTCATAATGAAAAAACTTGAAACTATATAAAGCAGTTTGTGACTACTATTTTTGATTGATGCCAATTCAATGGGTGGAATGATCAACTCGACTGGTTACTCATGCAAATGATGGAGTTAAGGGAATTTCGATTTAACTTCAAGATGCTACTACTCTATCGTTTATGAACGTCATGGAAACGTCTTAATAAATGACCGTGAAAGCGGAATAATTTATTCAACCAGAATCATTTAAGTATTTCGGTATTGAAAACGGGTTCCACTAATTCTAATTCTAACTTAACTATGATATATACATTCATTATCTTTTAAATTAACATAAGTCACAATATTTATATCATTCTGGATAATAGTTGAAGTAGTGGGAGAAATTATAATGTCAATTATTAGATATCATGGTTACAGCATTAATAATTTATTTATTTAACTACTCAAATCCTTCATTTTCAATAACCTAAAACTAGGAACCACTATTCTGTTAAGAACTTAGAAAACTATTTTTATCTAAAAGTTCTTTCTCCACTATCTGTTTTCATTTCAATTTAATACACCTAAACCATTTAAAAGTGAAAAGTTCAAAAATCTTTCAGAAAGTTAAGGCCTTTTTTCATTAAAATTAGCCAAATAAAAGGAATAATATGCCAAATTTAAATAAAATATTTCATTATATAAAACAAATGCTAGCATAAGAACCAAATAAGATAAATATGTATAAATATCTATTTGCCATATGAAAATTTATATAAACTGAATGTGTAATAAACTTCCAGTCTTAATAAATCTGTTAAAATCGACTTAACTCAGCGCGGGGTGCTTGTGCACATTTGCAATTGTCTGAGACGTGTAAAATGACTGCAGCTTCGGAATTTAATAATCCTTTAAGGAAGTTTAAATTAGTGTTTCTCGGTGAACAAAGTGGTACGCACCTTTCTTTATATTTATTCAAAATGTTCTTAGTTGGTAAAACATCTCTTATTACTCGGTTTATGTATGAAACCTTCGATAGTGTGTATCAGGTAATACCGATGGTTTTAAATACATTGAATAGGCAACGATTGGAATTGATTTCCTATCCAAAACCATGTACCTTGAAGACCGAACTGTAAGAAATGGTTTGAAAATTTGAAGTTCTTGATTAGATCCGATTGCAATTATGGGATACAGCCGGTCAAGAACGTTTCCGTAGTTTGATTCCCAGCTATATTCGTGATTCTTCTGTCGCTGTAGTTGTATACGATATATGCAGTATGTTTTTCGCAGTTAGTTGATAAATGTATCTAGTGAGGGAATCTTTCCAGCAGACCACAAAGTGGATTGACGATGTTCGCAATGAACGAGGCAATGACGTGATTATTATGCTTGTTGGAAATAAAACGGACTTAGCAGACAAAAGGTAAATATTTGTCTTTTTTCCTATTGCAAATGCTTGCAGGAAGGTAACCTTGGAAGAAGGTGAGCGCCTTGCCAAGGATCTCAATGTAATGTTTGTTGAAACCAGTGCGAAAGCTGGTTACAACGTCAAAAATGTGAGTGCTGCTTATCTGTTCCTAATATGATAAAATCTTTTGCTGTTTTGAGGCATTTGCAATTTAAAATCATTCGTTATTACTCTTATGCTTATATGAGGATTTTTCCAAATATTCATTTTATTTAAGGAGGTGATGCTTAGGGCTTATCTTGTGAAATCGCTAATACCTTCTTCGATAGACAGACTCGACTAAAATAATTTTCATTTTGTATATTGGACTTCTTTAGATGGGCCTCTTAGTCGCGAGCTCCAGTTTTTCAACCTCACACTACATTTATTGAAATAGCAATATTTAAACCTATCGATGGAAAGGCTATCTGACATCTCATACAGAAATAACGTACTGGGGACTCTCTACTTATGGTTTTTTATATATATTGGCGTTAGGTTTTTTTCTGAATATTCATAAATGGAGCTTGTTTTAATGACCTCTCTGACTTGTCAGATACGCGCGTTGAGTGCATTGTCATTATTTCGCGTTATTCTCACATTTTAAACTAGATGAATTATTGGTTGATCACTTTGACCATACAATTGAATTCATATTCCATCGAGTACACGTTTGATGTAAAAGCGCTATGTGCCCCCACTTTTCTTTTTTTAGTCTTATATGTTCTTATCTGATTTTAGCTTTTCCGACGGATAGCTACAGAGTTGTTGAAAAAGGAAACACCCCCTCCTCGTCATGACGACCGTAATTCTATTAATTTTTATTAATTTTGTTATATTATATCTTGCTATGCTTTTTCGCACAGTCATTTATTAGCTTCTATTATTTATTTTAAGTGTTTATTACATCTGTTTTTTTTCTTTTCGATCTCTCGCCCTCTCTGCCACCGTAACTGCCTAATACCGTGCTTTTTTGTTTTGTTGTGCTGTTTTTTGGGGGATTCACTTTTCGACTAACATCTGACTGGTGTCTTTTTATGCTTTGGTTGTGCAGTGGTTGAAGTTAGATTGCGTGACCATATGACACCCGGAGATCGTAGTGATGTTATAACACAGAATTCATGTTGGTGCTAAGATTAAATGAAGCTCTGTTTTTTTCTCTTTTTCGACGCGTTCTAAAGTGATTGAACTCAAGCCGAATGACCAACCACAGGACACCAATCCCAAGCTATGTGGATGTTGATTTTCACCCTCTAATCTCCTTCTCTCCTCCCTCCCCACCCACTCCCGTGTCTTTGTTGTTCTAAATGAACCGAGATTGTGCTTCCACGCCAACCCCCCCCCCCCCCCCCACTTTCAACTACCCTTTACATCCTGGGTTTTTCTTGCATTTTTTTTCTCCCTTTTGCTGAATTGACTTCCTAATCTTCTATTCTATGCGTATGCCTGAATTCGATGCTGCAAAAAGTGAACCTCTATTCCCTTTCGATATACGGGCCGTTTGGTGCTCACCTTTCATTCCCTTTTGTTATTATTTCGTACCATTGGTTTGCCTTGTCTCTCACAGTCCCTGTGCACAATCTCTCGCCTTCATTTTCTTTCACTTTCTATTTAGTTTCTTTCAGTGCACTACTTTCTGGCTTTACAAAATTCAACATGGAGTTGTGCTTCAATGTATAATACAAATAACAATTGCTACTTATAAAAGAAGTAAGTAATATACGTATATTGATTTTCTCTTGAAATTAGTGAGTGTTTAGCCTTTGAATTGAAAAGGAGATTGCGAAATATGCATTTTAGTGTATTAAAAAGTATTGCCGTGTAGATTATCTTGTAGTGACTATAGTGCGTATTAAAATATTTTAACTTTTGAATGCCGATTGTTGACCTTTCTTTGTGCCGGGTATTCGGCATACGTTTGACACTCTTTTGGGTAAAATCTTTGTAAATGCAAAATTTGATAAGTTTACATGAAATTCATTAGGTTAAGACATTGTTCGCTTGCCAAAGAGTTTTACTGAAAATAAATACTTATTGCATCTTCAATCCAGCCCTAGGATTCGGAACAGCTGAATTTTCATTTTCTTTGCCCATGGTATCGAAATAGCTTTAATTTGGTCGATTAATTAGGCTAATTCGTACATAGTTGTCTATCGGGTTATGATTTTGAGACTGGTGTGATGTAAATTGCCTTAAAACCAATTTTAACATTTTCCTTACGCGGACCAAGGGACTGTAACCTACGGCCAAGTTAATTACGTAACCTAAACCCTTCTTTATAGAATACCGATAGCTTGGTTGAATTTAGTCCCCATGACCCTGGAGGTGACCTTGGTACTATATTCATCTCACCCCATCTTCCATTCTGAGTGTCGTGCTTTTGGTCCTGGCAAAGTTTTCTTAACGGAAAAAGACCGCATTATTTTTGCTTCAATGGGATGTTTCACATTGCCCTTCAATTTCTTTGTCTGGCCTTATGTGTGAAAAACTGACTTCTGAGTGCTTGTATGAGCTTGTGGTAGTAGTATTCATTAAGTGCAGGCATTAGGAAAGAGGCTGAAACATTAAATGAACTGTACCAACAAAGCGATGCCATTGTGCTCCAGCACTTTTCTGCGAGTGCAACGTGATCAGATCATCTGCTGTATTGCTTTTTTCCTCCCACATACTCGTAGTCTTCATTGCCATTTCCTCGTTCCTGATGGATTCTTTTCACAATGTTCGAGGCACATTCGACAGCGATTTTAAGCTGATTTCCATTGTCAACGCAACCCCTTATGTTACTATTTATTCTCCTCCACGATTCAGGTGAGCTTCAGCAATCCATTCTCGTTGTCCTCGCATGTATGAGTGTAGAGGCGTAGTGTGCTTAGACACAATTGTCGCATCTGTAAAGTAATCAAATTTTATTAGGATATATATTCGTAGTATATATAAACGTCGTATTTCGATATGTGATGGTTTGCGTTGGCATATCATGTGGAGCTTAAGCCAAACATGAGTTCTTTTCAAGTAGAAGATGAAATAAATTTAATTATTGTGATTGTTATCCATTGCAAGTCAAATTATGTATTAATTCTTTTGTTGAAGGGGTTTAAACAACTGAAACAGGAGGAATAACAGTTTAAATCCGATTTTGATTTCACTTGCGGGTCATTTCAATTTGATCCAATCAGAAATCGGGTATTTTTTAGACAATCTTTTTACTTTTTGCCCAAACCTGGAGAAAGAAATAGCTCTAATTTTCTTATCAGACGATTCGCTCAACGTTGGTTAGTTGGGATAAATTTCCTTTTATTATTAAGGTTTAATATGTTCAATCCCAAAACAGGCAGAACATTCTAAACAGCTCTCTTTCATCAGGACCTGAACTTGGTTTAAGGGGTTTATTTATTTCAAATGGCAGGCGTTTTGATAGCTATCATTTGCCATTTAGCTGATTTCGGGCTTCACAGAGGGAAGGTTAATCAGAGTAGCAGAAAGTTGAGGGGTGGGGAAGAGAAGAGCGATTCACAGATGTAAAAGAGACAAACAGATGCAAAGGTAGAGAAAAAGGTAAGATGAGTACTGTGGAAGGGGTCGGATATGACATATAGTGGGGTCATGGTAGTTTGAAGTCAGAAGTCAGCTGCCGGTTTATAGACTTTTTTGCCGTATGAGTATACGTTGCCCAGGGTGCACCACGTGGAGTTTAGTCGATCGCACACCCCAGGTTTAAAGGGTTTAAATCGAAATGGAACTTTAATTGATACTCCAAAATCAGGATTCTGATGATGGCATTTTTGAATCCCTGATTGACTCTGCTCCTCTGTTAAATATGGAGGGGGGGGGGGTGAATTTTAGCAGAACTTCGCTTTTCTGTGGTCAACTTTACAATTGCAGTGAAAGTGTTTCAGCCAATTGGCCGCTTCATCTCTACCTCCCCCTCCCTCCCCTTGACAGAGCTGAGGAAGGTAGCACGTACATTTGTTTGTCGTCTATATAGCTAGCAGTTCAGACACCTACTCCATCCCCTAAACCGTTCCAGAGTTGACCCTTGTCAATTTCCTCCACGCATTTGATGAAATTTACGTGGAATAATCTGTTGTGTATCGTTAAAACCCTCGCGAAGCAGTTACAGCCGAAGTTTATTGTTGCTAGCAGTTGGGAAGACTTAATCAGAATTGAAAAGATACAAATGAAAGTTTTTTTTAACAGAAAAGGGGTGGTTGTTCACCACAAATTGTCCGACGCTGTCCGTGGAACGAGAACTTCAGAAATTAAATTGGCATGTTCCTCCACCTTCGCCATATCTCGACCTCTCCGATTATCATGTTTTTAAGGGCGTCGGTGCTTATCCTCTGAGGAAAAAAAAGCTATTTCGAAATGTCACGGAAGTTGGTATTCGCTTTTTATCCGAAAGAGAGAGAGAGAGAGAGTTTCACGTGATTTCGAGATTCATATTATGTATTTTATCAGTTGAATAATGTAAAAAAATGATTCAAATTTTGATGCTCCTTTTTAACAATACGCTAATTTCTCGTTGGTACTCCTACTATTTCGTCTCACTCGCTCGCCTTAAAATTGATGCTTTCAAAGGTTCGTTTGGTTGTTTTTTGTTTTAATAAAAGAGGAAGTTTTGGTAGTGGAGTCTGTGCTTGTGCTGTTGCATGTTTGTGACTCATCACAGTTGCCACCCAGTGATTGAATTATTCATCTCGCGGCTGCTTAAATCCTGATCGCATAGAAGTAGGGAGAAATTTTCCTTAGATCATAACAGCATTCTTTCTCGGTTACCTCTGGAAATTGCAGAATAGTAGGCAGTATATTTAATGAGATTATTGTCTACTAATTAGCCAACTACTATCCATCAGAAGTGCATTTCCGTCTTCATTGGTGTTATTATTCCTACTGCTATACAACTTGCTAAATGTGTCTCCTCTCTGTTAAGCTTAAAGCTTCTTTCCTAGTGTATCACCTAGCTACTCTTGAATACTGGTAAAGTTATTGAGATGGCACAGCCAGCCAATTAATTCAACCGTTTGGTAAGCTCTGGAAATCTTATATATGTTTAATCACTCTGAAGTTTGGGACAATAGATAATGAAAGTGAATGCAGGTGAACTGATGTAAGTTTCCACTTTTTTATTAACTTACCCCTCTTGGGGGGGGGGGCTTTTATTGACCCCAAATCAGAAGGTGTCTTTCTGCTTATTGGATATGGAATCTTCTAGGTCTTATTCTATCATGTGTAAGAGAAGTACCCAACTTCCTCTCACTGAGGATCCTACCTCTTTTTCCGGACCTTTTTGGAGGATATTTCCTTTTATAAGCAGGAATGTATAACAAAAATTGGGGGGGGGGGGTAGAACAGACAAGAGATATTCCTACTCTTAACCGAAAGTAACGTAGGTAAAGGAAATCCCATCCCTCGCTCCGACAATATCACATAATGGATCATTCTCGCTCAATTGTATTATTGACTTTGTACTTGGCATGTTTTTTTCTGTTGTTTCATAATGGATAATCACAGGCTTTTTATCATGATTCCTTAATGAATGGGTTTTGGGACATTTTTTTCATATTCACAATAACTTTCAAGGTAAATCCTCTTAACATCACTTTTGCAAGCAGCAGGCGAATACCCTCATCGAAACTTGCGGGAAAACGCATTAAGCCACTTCCGATAATGATTACATTTACGACTTTGCTATACGTAGAAGTATTTGACCTTGTCAGGTTCATACCCGATTAGTAATTCCGTATTTTACAGGCACTAGTTTGTGTATTCATTACGTAAGGAGATCAAGCATCGCCTTTGTGGTAATTTCAACTTTTTTAGAACAGAGATGACTTCTACCGTGTTAGAATCATTTAGTCTCCTATCGTCCTGCCTAGTGTCTTCACCATAAGCAAGGGTTTTGTGCTCCAAATTATAGCCCATGGCTAACGTCAGCTTTTTAAACTTTGTCAGTTCGTGTTGTATGCCTTCTTTTCACTATCAGGCGAACGTGGAATGTGAGATTTTGATGACGCTGACAAGTAAACATTTTTTTGTCTCTTGAAAACAAAAATACAAGGTATTTGTGCCAATCAGGCAGTCGAACTGAACGCTTTCGAATTACCAAGACGGCATAAGGAATGATGCGACTGCTATTGTAAATATTGATTTCAAAATCGTATTTCTGCTTTCCGCAACCACCTTCCATATTCTTGGTAAATGTCATACGTCAGGCTATGCACCACCTGTCCAAATAGTCCTCTTGGTAGGTCTTAGATCAAATCAATAAATTCTACTTTTCTTAAAAATATGAACTGAACCACCTCGAAAAAATTAAATTAAGAATCAGTTAATAGAATTATTCTTGATGTTGCGCTGTCTGCTTCGATATTTGTTCCGTATGGCACATTACTCAGATTAATGGTTGGTTAACGGAAATATGAATTTGAAGCAAAGTAGTGACAATAACCTATTGAACTCCTGTTCCTTTTCAGACTAAAAGTTCCCTATCTCTGGTGTTTTCTCTTCACTGTTGCTTGGAGGTAATTTCGTCATTGCAAAACTGTCAAATATACGAGGGTGACTCACAAATTTCTCAGACAAATGGTATAACTTTTAGCAGAGATTTACAAGCTCAAACCTCTCTTTAGAGCTCCCTTAATACATACCTACAATTGACCCATAATTCTATGTATAAGGTGAGGGAGGTGAAGCGAGGTTGCATCTCAAAATAGTTGTCACTCTGTTGGATCAAAACGAAAATAACATTTTTCCACTTAATTAAATTGGAGGCTTCTTTAGATGGTAAGAATTCGATGCAACATGGCTCGTTATGGAGTTAGTTGAGCGTATCTTATAAATAAGGCAGAAAGTCAGAAAGATGGTGAGGGAAGAATGTCAGAGGCAAAAAGCATGTCACAAAGTCAAATTAAAGCGGAATTAAAATTTTTTTTTGTCTTCTATCGAAAGCATACAAGGATTAGTGAATTCGAAAATTTGACCTTGGATTTACTCGCAAAATTACATGTTAGGATAGTTAAGTTCTGGGAACATAATCACGTGGAAGTTCGTTTAATAAACACCGATCGAGGCAGCGTAATAAATCCTCATCCGGATTCATCAGAAGATTGTAGACATAGCATAAAACTAGAAGGTGTTGAAAGAACTGGAATGAGAATATCAACTAAAATATTACCGTGTTTCAATGCATTAAGAGCTGACCAAACTGCGGGGTCTATGCGGACTTGTCCATTGATAATTCTTGGATGGTCTATCTTTGTCATGAAGTGTACCTACTTGAGTTAATTAAGTAGCATGCTCACCTTAGGCGGATCAAAAGGATAGCCAGATATTAAAGACGGCGATTATTTATTTATATCAAATGGCAGGTGTTTTGACGGTTATCATTAGCCCTTTAGTTGACTTCAGGCTTCACAGAGGGGAAAGAACATCAAAGTGAAGGAAAGTCGAGAGGGGGGAGGACAGATGAGTGTTTCAAAGACGAAGGTAGAGAAAAGGTAAGATGAGCGCTGTAGAAGAGGTCGAATATGACATACAGTGAGGTCATGGTAGTTTGAAGTCAGAAGTCAACTGCCGGATTGTAGACTTTTTTGCCGCATGAGTAGACGTTGCCCAGGGTGCATCACGTGGAGGTAAGTCTATCGCACACCCCAGACAACGATTATAGGAACACAGAACTCGGGGAATCTTCTTTCTGTGTTTTTAGCTTAAATTATATTTATTCTTCAAATTGAATTTTCATTGGACTTGACCTGATCATTCTTGCAACACAAATTAATCCAACTTTTGATGGATCCTATCTCACTATCAGTTGCAATTGGTCAACAAGACCGAGGATGTCGCATAAACTTCCTCCCTTGTGTAATAGTTTTCGAAAAGACCGCTTCAAACGTTATGGTTATTTAGCTCATCGGTTCCTCCTAGAACTGCTACTATCATCCACTTCTTAATGCGATATCCAATCAGCTGATTTCTGAATATTGTAAAACATGGGTCTGACATCTACCTTCATTCATCACCCACAACTACTTTTAACTCAACGCCAAAGGATGTGTTGTCCAGGCACCTGACTTTGCAGACTCTGAAATCTCAGCTTTCACTCTTATTTTACCTCACTGCTAATTGGCTAGAGCGTCACTTTTCATCATTCCTGATATCTTTTGCCGTGTTAAACTCAAAAGACACTGATTTGGCATAAGGGAGGTTAGTACTGCCCTGATCAAATTGTCCAGTGGATACTGCTATGGTAATAGCGCTAAAGAAAAGAGTATACTCTAGTGGTGAGAATTAAGGTTCATGGGTTTATACGAAAGCGAATTTCATAAAATTGGAATTAATGTGAACTCAAACCTGCAATACACCTACCCTGACTCCAGGGGGTCTGAGCTGAGAACTTATTGGCTTTGATCCTCATTTGCCATAAAGGTCTGTACCAATCTGCAGAATCGATTTTTTTATGTCTGAGGTACTGAATTATGCGTATTCGTACAACGGATCAGAAAACGCACTCATTTATACTTACCATGCTCTGACATAGAGGTTTAACTCCAATAGAATGGGGTTGATATTACTTTTTACTTGCATGACATGGTATTGTTTGGCTAATTTTTCATACTTCTACGTTTTAAGCCTCTAACGTACCCGATAACTATATATATATATATATATATATATATATATATATAAACAGGAGCTATATGAAGTTGTCTTTTGCAATTATTGGGCAGTAAATTCATCTACTCAAATATGCATCAATTATGAAACCCCTACATACCCTTATAATTGAAACAAGAACTACGATTTAGTGAAATTAATTAAAAATAGGATACATGAAAAATTTACTCCCATCATTACATGATAAAATGTTATTAATACACAGCCTTGAAAATATGCGAAAATATAGTATAGATTGTCGAAGACAGTGATTTGGTGGTGTTTGAAAAGAATTAATAATGCCATTAGAGACCAGAGTAGGAAGGGTGAGCACCATTCAAATGGATTTCAATGAAGACGCGTCCTGATACGTTACGTTGTCCAGACTTAAGGAGCGCAGAGCTATACCAGTGACATTAGACAACGGACTCGGTGCATGAACCGGATTAGGTGGAGCAGACATGAATGATCGTGGAAGGGAATTGGTTCCTCTATACCCACCGTTGTCATTTTCAATGATCTGGTTCGACGGCCGATTAGTTTCATTACCCATTTCCAGATGAGCCACACGAAGCGTCACGCATACACAAAGAATGCAGGTAAAAAGAATGATGCTGAAGGATAGCGGAACCAGGACCCTGAGAACTAGGTGAAAGCAAATAAATTTAACTAATTACTTTGCTACTGCAAAGTTGAAAGTAGCAATAATATTGAGCAAAATCTAAAATTCGTATTAACTCACATGTATTCCAATTGCGCAATAAAATTTCAAAGATATATCCTTGACTATGGGATAACATTACGTAATCCCAGTGGTGTAGTTGATAAATAAATGTAATTAATCGTCTTATAAGGTGTCTTTGAGCAGTAAGAGTTGGTATAGTGTACTAAGACCATCAATTGAAATAGAAGCAAGCCGACGAATTCAAAAATTAACCAAATGGAAAAAAAGGATCTTTAGATGCACCGTCGCTACTATCACTCGCTTATCGTCCCCATATCCTAAATTATGACTTTACTGCTAGGGATTTCCGCAGAGCTTTTGGTGAAAATACTATTTCTTCGCAGGCAGTGCAGTAGTCCATATCAGGCAAATACTAGGTCACAAGATCAAAGTTAATTGGTTAATTCTAGTCAGCAAGTGATTTCTGGATTGACTTTCTATTCCCTTAAGGAGCTATTATTCGTTGCATAAGCAATGGAAGAATAATTGTGATAATAAATAGTTTAACAAGTAAGCAATCAATACCTATAAGATCGTAGAGCACTTCACTAACTATAACACCTCGACAACCCCTTGAGTATATTGTGATGCTTTGGAGTTTGCCTGAAGAAGTATTGAATGACAATGTTTCACATATCCCCGTTTCAGTCTGGCTGCATGAACACTGCTGTTTCATCCAATCAAGTTGGTTATCTACAATTCAGAGACAAAACGTGGGAGTTGGAGTAATGTTAAGCAGCAGCCTTTTAACGAAATAAATACTTAGTAAAGATGAGGTTGAGAGCTCGAATGATCGTAATCATTAATTTTCACCAAATGATCAACAAACCAAATCTCACAATATTTTATGAAGTAATTCGCATTTGCCAACCCTGAAGAGTGCATAACGCACAATGACAATCCGGAATATGAACTTTTTGGAGGGTGGGGGGGGGGGGGGGGGGGGGGTTGGTGGAATACTTGTGAATAAAGGTGACATTTGTGGTTATTATTTAAACTATTGAACATTTCCATCATAAAAATACGTCTATAAATATATACATATTAACAAATAATGAACCAATGGTCTACAAGTATTAACAATCCAAAATGTAGTCGTCTTTAACCGTAAGGACTCTGATTATATGCAGCGCATCATAAACTGATACCCTCCACTGGACAAAACACCTCTCTCAAACTATGTAAGTTACCAGGTGGGATACTATTGAAAAATTAGGAGTAGGCTAAGCTAGCAACCTTGAGTCATTACAACGAATATAGACCAATGAGGAAGCTCTAATGGTGGTTATATTTATCTTAGAGTTGCGTGATACGTCAGTGGGTGACCTGTCATTATTGCAAGGCCACTGTTTCATTTCAGCTCTTGCCAATATGGACATCGTGATCTGCTTTTCGTATATTATATGACGTTGGTTCTCCAAAACCTCGTATTCTATTGGACTTGTGGTTTAAATAATTGCTTAATAATGGATTTTTTAATGGCATATCCACATGCAATGAAGGGACATAGAAATCTAAAAGACGTGGGAAAGATAGAAGGAAGCAACAAAAAAAACATAGAAAGGTACAAGGTGAAAAGAAGCAACCATCTTGCCACAAATGACCCCAACCCTATGTCCTTGGTGGAAACCTTTTATTTTAGTATGTTTTTTGTCCAGTGTTCTCTCATTCTGATCTGAGTTGCCTACTCTCTGTGTAGGTAAGTGTATCCAACAGATGTAAGATGTTCTTCCTTAACTACAGTCCTCTAGATAAGAGGAAAGAGTTGATATGATAGAGGAAAAATCAACCGCTTGAAATTTGAAAGAACAGAAATTTTCAGTTCAAAAGAGGCTTCGCTAGGGCCAACAAAAAATAAATTGATGGAAGAGCAAAAAGTGGCGATGCTTAAATAAAGAAATATACAGTTTCTGTTCCTGTGATGTCTAATCCAAATGAGGTTATATACTGTGAAGTTATACCAGCCTAAAACTACCTTCCAAGTTGTGATGAAAGACCAGGAGTATATTTTACTTGCCAATAAGGAAGAAAGGTGTCTTGAAGGTCTTGAAAATGAAAGAGCGAAGATAAAAAAAAAAATCGTAAGAATGTTCACCACGCCTTCAAGTCACCTATGGGTATTTTTGACAAAGCGTGCTATTCTCTAGAGAGTCATGTGTTGTATATAGGAAAAAAAACTATGCTGACCCATCACCCAAATTACTTTGTCTATTAATATCTGTGGAATCTTCCAAGAGCCAATCTTCAGGTCCATCAACACCACAGCAACGACCTTGAGACTCTAGGCGTTCCCAGCATTTAGCCGCAGCGGAAGTGGCGATTGACGTTTTGTTCCAGATGAAAACGGATTTGGCTTCTATGAATATGTTTTGCACCTATAAAGCAATAAAAAAAATAACAGCACACATGTTTGATATCACGAGTTTTTTTTGTTTGTAATTTGCGTGGTGTCAACTAGATTGACTAATTTGCTTAAGTACTTCAATTCCATAAGAAATTCGTGTCAGTCAAAATTATTTATTAGTCTCGATTATTTCTGTCTACCTTTCCGACTTGCAATTATTCGTGTGACTCCCTATAACCGAAATTAAGGTTACAACTGTCTGTTACTATTACCCAGAGCAATTCGAAGATATTGCAAAGGTATAGAGAGCAGGAGCAATGTGGCGATGAGTCTTGCCTCATTTATTTTTTCCTGAAATAGGATTGGCATTTACAATTCCAAATTCAGATTTCAAAATTTCGCCTCCGGGACTACAGTAAACACGCCTGCTTATTGGACAGTAATCTTTAATTAAGAAAGATTAGTCTTGTGGTGTCAATTCAATTTTCTTCCATTGGTTGGGAGGGTGGCTGACAGGTTTGGCAAATTAGCATTTTTTTAGAATAAACTCTACTACTGGGAGAACAGTGGTTAATGTGCTGATTTGCCAAGTAAGAAGTCACGGGTTCGAGCCCCACTGGTGCACTAGATGAGCGGAGTGGTCAATCCTATTCCCTTAAATCTGAGTTAAGAAACAATGACAAATCCCCAGTTTTGTTGATTTTGAGACCCTGTAATGCTATCCCTCGTTGGTGCACAGCGATGTGGATTCATTTGATCTACACCAATCTAACCTCACACAGTCAACTCGAGTTATTCCTCGACATGGCCAAGACGAAAGAGGCCCAGAGCCCTGTAACCCACTGAAAGTGATATTAACCGCATACATTGGATCACGTGGAGTTCAGCGGCCATTTTGTGTTTTTCTGTTTATTTTTGTTTTTTTTGTTTTTTCTGTTGTCATTTGTTCATAACGACTGCAGAATGCTTTGTTATCATTTGAGCAAAAAATGCTAGTTGTTGGAACATAATTGGAAATGAAAATGGCTTGAAACGTTAAATTAAGGGTTTTTCACAACGGTTTGTGTCCAGAAGTTGGTTAATAACTTTGGAGCTGCGAGTTCACCAGTTGAAGCAAAGAATAACATACATTTATTCACTGTAAAATTTACAACGTGCTCACGAAAATATGCTATAAAGTCCACGGAAATTTACTAGATGTCTATCTGCCCAGCTTTACATCATGTCAGAACTGGTTGAAACGAATGTACAGAGTAAGATTGATGCAAACACTGCAACAAGCGCACGACGACATTATTGCTGAAACATACCAAATAATTTGGATTTTTCGCTATGTTGCTAGTCGCAGTATTCTACATTCACAACTTTCAAATAAATATAAAGTATTTCTTTGATTTTCTGCATTCTCATCGAACCAATACCTATATCCATACTTAATGAACACAGAGAGTCACCCTCCAACCAACCCGGTTAATTGAGCATTTGTCCTCGCAGTCAATGCCTTCCTCATTTGAGCTTCGATCAGGATTTACCTATTATCCACACGGCTCGATAAACAAGTTTCACACACCCTTTATGTTCGCGGTAATAAGTCAAGTCTCATCTCTAAGGCTAGCATTTATGACTCAAATTCTTAATTGTTATACATGCGTAATGAGATGGGTCTCAAGATGTATAAAGCTTTCATAATTGGGCTTGAGAGTAATTGCTACCAATTCACACCACTTTACATAAGTCATGAGCAAGTTTAAGCCAATTTCTTTTTAAAAAATAGGATAATGTACGCTTGTTTAAATTACGCTGAATTATCCAAGTGGGAATAAAAACTAAATACGTATTATCCAGTCTGATTTTCATTACACGTGAAATTCTTGAAAAATTATAAACGACAAGTTTACTGTACCTAACCAAACAAATATTCTGCCAAGTAGATGTGCCTTCATTAGAGTTAATAGGGCTCTTGTGCACTTATCAAAAATCAATACTAAATAGCCAAGTTCCAAAACCTACATCGTTTTCCCTATTACTTGCTGATGAGGGATGTGCGATAGACTTACCTCCACGTGGTATGCCCTGGGCAACGTGTACTCATACGGCAAAAATCTATTAATCGGCAGTTGACTTCTGACTTCAAACTACCATCACCCCACTGTATGTCATATTCCACTGCTTTCACAGTACTCACCTCACCTTTTTCTACCTTTTCTACCTTCGTCTTTGAAACACTCTTCTGTTCCCCGCCCCTCTCTACTTTTTTTCACTATCATGTTCCTTCCCCTATTTGAAGCCTGAAGTCAACTAAATGACTAATAATAACTATCAAAACGACTGTCATTTGATATAAATAAATGACTAATAAATATGTTACTGATAAAGGTAAGTGTTCTTTTGTGCTATCTCATTGTTGTAATCACTTATTTTTGTGGAGATGTGATTTCAAACCTCCTCCCCCCCCCCCCACACACACAAAGACCAGTTCAGTTATACGCCAATAGCCTTGCAACTTAATCAACTGAAACAAACTTAATTGCTGAAGTGAGATCATCACTTTTCAGGAACGAATTCCTCAGGTGTTATTTCCTTCAAGGTGAAATTTAAAGCAACATTCCTTTATGTTCAAATGCTATCCTGCTGTGTCAATTTAATAAAAAAATTGAAATTAACTTACGACCATTACACGAAGATTCATATTTCTAACTAATTTGCTCCATTCATGATTAAGCGGATGTACTACTCGCTTAATCAATGCAGTATTATTAATTCTACCATAGAGCAATGGAAGGCTCTCTGTCCAATCGATTTTGGACTGGCGTTTCTAATACCAAAAAAGTATGACGAGAAGAAAGAATGGTTTGTACTATAAAATCAGAACGGCGGTCATTGATATAATTTGGTCTCGACTTATGCAATTGTATTTGATTAGCACGAGAAGATTAAATCAATCACTCATAGCAATTGAACTTCTATATCTAATCTGGTGACATATGAGTAAACAGAGAGCGGGAGAATCGACTAATGGCGTTTGGTCACACCATGACATATCTGTCTAGGTGTCAACGTGAAGGTGGCACTTTGGTGATGTGAAATTTATACAGCACTTCCGTATTCAACAAGGCATTGTTTCGTTTTCTAATCAGATTTGGATCTGCTCAAATATAGGCAAAGTGTAAGAACCCCCCCCCTTAATTTTGTCTTTTGCGATAATCCTCTTGCTCAGTACATTTTCAATTGATTCGTTTGCATTTCTGTGAACGCTTTTATAGACACATTTAGAGTCCGTACCTAATTTAATGCTTAAAGTCGAATAAGGATACCAACGGACATGTACAGGAACCAAGGACTGCAATTTCAAATTTTCTTTCACGCAACAATGTGGGTTAAGGAAAATATGTCATTCAATCAGTGCAGTAGAGTAAAATTTGAACAAGTCATAATAGGAATTTTCATTCCTTTAAGAATGAATTCTAACCAATGACAGTCGATAAACAGTAAGTCATTATGACTCATTCAGTGACAGGAATTTTTTTATTTCTAACAATAAATGAATAAAAGTGTAAAGAAAGTATTGAACATCTCAAACCGTGAAGTACAATTCACCCCTCCCCCCTCCCCCAACTCTTTGTTCCATTGGGAAATTGAAGCTCCTTATGTGGAACAATACTTCACGATATCATCTGCGCATGAAATCAGAGTTGTTCTGGAAATCATCTGAGTATCTTTCCAAAGTTGGATATAGCTTTAACTCATTGTCTTCTCAATCATTGAGAATTTCTCAGTTTCAATGCATCTTCCCTTAAAGAAAAAAGTTCTAGTTTACCTTCCATTAGATAAATGATGAGCGCCACTTTTAATCAATTATTTACCAAAAGAGCGCTTTGTTTTGAGCCATTTTCATCGCCTAAGATGCAAAAAATGTTGTACAATTATTGTAATGCAAGTGTCAAATTCTCAAACACTTAATTTTCCAAGAATGTGCGAAGTAATAAATTTTAAAATCCACTAGTATATTGCTGTGGGCACCATCCTCTAAGCAACCCCTCTCCCCCCCCCCAATAAGACAATAATTGTTAGGTTTAGAAAAAAAGTCTTGAGCAATATAGCGTTGAGAACGCACCTCAGGACTGAGACCCGCGTGTGTACTTTGTGCTTGGCTAATTAGTGAAGCCGTCAGTGATATAGCAGCTATATGACCGGCAAGTATGAAAAGAAAGATTATGGCCGATGGGCGAAACCATAGGGCAGTATTGCTGAAAGCGGATTGGTCGTTCTTGTCGTTGCCACAGCAACACAAACAACACCGACACCGTGAGCTATTGGAACGACAACGATTGCACAATTTCTGCTGCTTTGGTGAACTTTGCAGTGTCCAGCGCCTACTCTTGGTGCTTTGCACATGATCCTTGACGATCTCACCCACTTGATTGCCTTCCGGACCAACCAAAATAAGATTATCTAAAATTGTCAATGAAAAAATAACTTTAAATGTATTGATTAATAAGTACTCTGATGAAGAGGTCAAGTTCCAATTTGGTTTCTAAAAATAATCAAACGCAAACCGATCAAAAGCTCACAGAAAGATGAGCGAAGAATGTAGGAATTTCAATTTGCTCAATTTATAGAAAGCATACAGGTAGAATAAATCCTTAATGGACTTTGAAGAATAGCTTGTATTGAGCATGATGCGACGTTACTATAACCTTTTGCTATATCCAATAATTGCCAGGCTATTACAAAATAAGGAACATATTCGACAAAGTAATGAGGCATAAATTAGTCCACACGTGGTATCGATGAGAGCACACTTAATACAGGCCGTGAAGGAAATCGAACTGTCTTTCAGCACCAATCAAATTTCGAGTTTATCAGAATTTTCACTCACTGTCAGGCATTATTCCAATCGTCAACGTGTGAATGGCAGACACACAAATACCACTTTACCCCAACAGTTATGATGAAAGGGAGAAAGACAATTTCATAGAACCATCTCTATAGCAATTGTCAAAGTACTTAATCTTTATTTTGTGAAGGCATAATGAGTAATGACAGAGGTCAGCAGTAGCGTTTCCATTTTCGATGATTTGATATGGAAGAGAAAGATGACAAAGACAAGGAACTTAGATGACCGTTAATGTGCCTTCTTCAAATGCGGAGTATCTACAAGCCCTAAACGTTAGACCAAAGTCAAGCATAAACGAATGCGCAAAGATTTAATTAATGGGGAAGTTAAATAGTGATCATTGGTACAAATGGCTATATAGTTATCGGTCATTATCGCTCGCGGGTAGGGTTAAAGGAGCCGTCTGCTCTAACCATTTACGAACCTTTGCACTAATTTTTTCTTTTTCCCATTTTTTGACTTTAAGCCAGGGCAGTGCACGCGATGCACCCTCGGCAACATATGCTCATAAGACAATAAGGTATAGAAACCGACAATTAACTTCTGTCTTCTAACATAACCGACTGTACGTCATATTCGACCAATTCCATAGTATTCACCTTTCCTTTTCCTCTACCATTGTGTCTATGTCTTTTCCATCTATGAATCATTCATCTCTTCTCCCTCTCCACATTTTGTGACTTTAATGTTCCTCCCCTTTGTGAAGCCTGAAGTCAGCTAAAGGGCTAATGATAACAATCGTAAAGCCTGCCATTTGATGTAAATAAATAAATAAAAATTTACGTTCCATCGTGGTTTACACTATGAAGTGTAGCCAACTACACTTTATGCCACCACAAGCCAAATCTGGAGTTGGCTTTAAACCTTACAATAATGCCAACTTTATCTATACTTTTACCAAGGCGTTAACGAAAATCATGACTTTACCACAAATTCAGCCTGCATTTTGGAAAATTAACAGCATTCGACTGCCAGAAAGTAAAATCACCACTCAAGCCTTAGACGTCTCGGATATGAACTAACGAAAAAAGCTAGAAGCTAAGTCTTGATATCTAATCTTTTAAGCTTTATCAACTATACCATAAGTTGATCACAGAAAGGTCTATTTGAATATTGATTTCATTATCGATTTCTATTGAAAATCTGGGTCATCACCTCAAATTATATTATTTTACTATTGCTATGAAAAAATCGCAGAATTTGTTTACTTCATGGGGTGTGCGATAGACTTACCTTCACGTGGTGCACCCTGGGCAACGCATATTCATACGGCAAAAATGTCTATTGACTGGCAGTTGACTTCTCACTTCAAACTACCATCACCTCACTCGATGCCATATTCGAATAGTTCACAGTATTCACCTCACCTTTGCTCTACCTTTGTGTTTGTCTCTTATATCTTTGAAACACTCTTCTGTCCCCCCCCCCTGTCGACTTTTTCAATTTGATGTTTCCTCCCCTCTATGAAGCCTGAAGTCAACTAAAGGGCTTATGATAACTAACAAAACGCCTGCCATTTGATATAAATCACAGAATTTGTTTACTTCATCATAAGTAACGATGAGAGGAATTATTTCAGTATTAATAATAGCATATTTTGCTATGATGAATGTGTACTATCATATAATTATCCGGGATTCGAGCTTGTTCTACTAAAGTTAAGAAAACAGGCATTAAAATGTCGAAGTTTAAAATATTTCAAAATGGCGAGAAGGTGGTGTTTCCGTTCAATATGTTAGAATTTGAAATGTATGCTTCCTTTTGACCAATTAGTATCCTCTATATGGTCATTAAAAAAATGTAATAATTGTAATGGAGCAGATAAAAATCGATATTTTTCGATTTATCTTATATTTGTCATAGTCATATGCCATTAGTATATACGTATTGTGGAACCCACAATGCAATCAAGACTGATCGAGGGGATCTCGTGAGTGTTTGAATATTCTAGAAAGCACGTGTGCTACCGGCTGTGTTGCGGATAATTGTGAAGTGCATGCAGAAGCCTAATCAATAAATTGTAGATTAATATTCTTTCAGAATAAGTTTATCACTATTAATCACTATTTACAATTCGTAATAGATAAAAAATGTTTTGCGTAATTATCCTAGCCATTTTGGATATAGTTTAGTTAATTGCGGAAGCAAATTTTTGTGGTAGAAGAAACTGCTGACTGATTTGCCTGCATATAATTAGAATTTGATTGGGATTACCAAATTTAGTAAAGTGCTTGCTTGTGCAATATTCGTCTCATTATCTTGACATAAGTTTATTCATGTATAAATACCTGACCAATGATGTAATCATTAAACTTGTCAATTTAAACAACTGAAAAGTGCAGCCCTTTGAAAGATATGTTTTTATTTATTAAATAAAATTAGATAGAAAAGAGAATATACTAAGCCATGCGCACATAATAAATAAGATTTAAATAAATATACCTGAATAAAGTGAAACCAAATAAGGCGCACAATTATCTTTTACTGAGGTACTTGTGAGCAACTTGACAGAAGGTTTTTTCCTGGATTAGCGTGAAACGTGCTTAAATGGCGTGTTTCTTGTTTGAAAACAAAGCGAAAGTAGTATTTGCTACTCTAAAGTGTGTATAATAAAGAAGAAAATATTTCCAACATCAATAAAAATATTTACTGAGCTTTTCAAATTGGAAGGTCAAAAATGTATGTATGCTGCTCGTGAAATGGAAAGGGTGCTTAAGTACCCGTCTGAAATCGTTTAAAACCCTTGGTGATTATATTAATTAAAATTGTCAATAACGATTCTTGACAGGCTTTCTGAGCATGGACTCCATCGGAAAAGTAATTTCCAATCTTCGAAGTGGGAAGATAATTTGGTACGCGTTGAAGCATTTAAATATCTGTTGATTACAAGAAAATAGCCCAAATAAGGTGGGGAAAGTAATTTAAAATATATGCAGACGCATATGAATTACTTTATTCTCAATAATTTATCTTAATATGCATGCAAAATATATCCTAGAAAAGTAAAAAATTATGGAAATTAATTTTTCGACAATCACAGCTATGTCAAGATGTGAGCGCACCATGCGGTTACATTCGAACAATGTGCGTTAAAATATAAAATTGAACAATTAGATAGAAAGTTGGATTTTCTCCACCTAAAACGATAAGATGTAGCTTATTAAGCCAAGTTCATGTAGTGAAATCATGAATATATATGCTATGCAAGGAGAAATAGACCATTTAAAATCATGAAAGGCAAATAACAAGACGCCGGTAATGTGATTGCTGCGTATCAAATACGTATTCAATTAACGAAACTAGTAGAATTTAGCGAAAATTGCAATTCCACTTAAAGGAAATCCAGTGAGCACAGCTTTAAACCACCTTGATAACCCCATTTTAGCCTGCTCGTAACACGTCTAATTGTTCCATTTAATGAATTCAACAACAAGCACTGGAAAAAAATTCTCTGGAAAATGGGCTTCGAGATATCTCGCTATTATAATGCCAATTATATTCCTCATTATAACAGTACCGTTACTAACAGCAAACAAATAAAGTAAAAGCTTCGGTGTCTTCACTTCAATTTTGCTATCAGAATCCCAGCTTCATTGTAAACTCAATTACTATCAAAATACCAAATTACATGAAAAAGGTTTGCCATAACTTTTGATGTTAAAGTCATGCACACGATTACATTATCCCGACATCTATTAAAATATAAAAGGATGAGAAATTAATAAAGCTTACCCTTCTTATCGCACTTGGGTTGTAGGTAGACAAAAAGACTGAGTACCAATCCGAGAAGAACCTGAACAATTCCAATACCAAGACAGAGCCATGCGTTTGTGTAGTAGATGTTTAAGACAGCACAATCCCAGTACTTGTTGCTAAGGCTGACAACACTGCCAATAACTAATATAAGGCCCATGTTTATAAGACTGCCGAAGAATAATATCTGTGTGCAAAGGACGCATAGTACTCTATTAGCTGTAGATTTGGAAAGCATTGCGAATTCTAGAGAAGAAATTAAAAATGCTTTAGTACTGAGATAAATGACAGGATAAATTGCAATCGAGTGTTAAAAGGAATACAATAAAATGAAAAATCTTCTCAAAAATTCATGCGAAAGCTAAGTTGAAAATGAATCGGTGGTTGTTGCGAGTAAATAAAAGCAAAGTATTATAGAACGATAATATAAGGGGAATCATTGAAAATATGAGCAAAATATTTAAGGAATGAAAAATTCAATTGAAAACGAATGTTTGAAAATTATCATAACATTAATAAAAATGAATCTGAGATACGTATTCGTAAGAAGGGAAACAAATAAGGGGTATAAAAATCTGCCCAGAAAAATTGTAGAACTTATATTACTATGAATATAAAAAAGTAGGTAGAGAAAAATATTTATTTTTTACGTGAGAAAGTAACTCCCTGAATTATATAATTTAGTACTAACTTTTATGGTTCATTGGAAAGTATTCTAGAATGAAGTACTTTTATTATTTAGCACTCAGACAACAATATCTACTTTGCTATTGATTCACCCACTATTTTATTTGAAGGTGATATTTACAGTCATGTGATTAACTATAAGAAAGGCTTTAATAATCAAACGTTTTTTCTTCATGTTGTTTCAGCGTAATTTATATTCCGATATATAAGCCAATGCAAAAAAATATGTTTTAATTTAACATTTTCATATGTCGAAATATTACAAAACAATTCAAAACATTTAGACTAGTCATTTCATAATTCGGTTAGACATTTAGCTTGTGGGACACGTCATCGCATGCTTGCACGCCAGGATTGGGAGATGCGACCGTACAAACAGTGACTAATCATTAACCTCTGTTTATGACCGTACAAACAGTGGCCAATCATTAACCTCTGTTTAACGCGATCGTACAAACAGTGACCAATCATCGAACCGGCGACGCAAACAGTGACCAATCATTATGCTACCGTACAAACAGTGATCAATCATTAACCTCTGTTTGTTTCCGTACAAACAGTGACTAATCATTAACCTCTGTTTGTTTAACCTAATCCCCCATCCTGATCATGATTAAGCTTCCTGCGTGTACATTACACGCAATACTCGTAATGAATACGCGTGCTCCGTGCTACACGTCTGTTTTCTTTATGGCTGGGCTATAGCTTAGCTGGTTCTGGGAGTCTTGCGAGATGTTGGAGAATTTGCCATAGAGATTTCTGAGTCGGTCAGGCTTTACCAGCGTAGCAATCCGCTACAAGCTCTTACAAGCATTTAATCAGCTTATTACTTGAATGGACCCTTCCTTAGTTCAAATTTTTTAATGACACTTCATAAACCACCACAATAACTTTCCCAAAGCAACTTATCTCTTCTAATATTTGTCTCTTTAATGGTTCAAATTTGTTCATATTGTTCAATTTATTCTGCTAATTTATTCGCTTTTATGGCAGACTAGTTACCATGCCTTGAAGATCTGATATAATATAAACAATTAAATTTCGTCTGAAATTAAAGATGACGAATGATCCTTGTTTACAATAAAATTTAATATCTAAGAACGATTATTTTTTCAAATTATGCCTGTGTGACATCTTTACTCAGCAATTCTTTACGTAGCTTGAAAGAGGTGGTACCTAAGTACATTATCATTAAAATGCTGATCTGTCATCTGTTTATTGAATTAAATTGGTATTTTAAGTAATGTCATATAAGTTATAAGTTCGTTGAACAGCTAACTATGCCCCTGTGTCATATTTGTCATATATAACGTTGGCACGACTTTTAAAACAACTTTGAATCCAAACGTTAATTGATTAAAGCAAAGGTAACATAAAATTCTCTATTTCCCATGCTATCGAACTGCCACCTAATAGCATATATGTTTTATAGGTCGAAACAGAAGCCGGTACGTTAACTACCGTACTACCGACGATTGTTTGACCTCCAGGTTTGGGAGGTGCGGCCGTACAACTCTGTGTGCAGCGACCGTACAAACAGTGTCCAATCATCAACCTCTGTTTGCTTAACCTAATCCCCCATCCTGATCATGAGTAGCTCCCTACGTGTACACTTGATCCGCAATATACGTCCTGAATAAAGGTACCCCGTGCTACACGTCTGTTTCCTTTCATAGTTGTGCTATAGCTTAGCTGGTTCTGGGAGTCTAACTAGATGTAGGAGGAACTGCCATAGAGATTTCTCAGTCAGTCAGGCTTTAATAAAGTAGCAATCCACTACAGATGGAAGCCATTTCTTTGGCAGCTCGTAGGATTGAAATCGTTGAAATGGTAGGTTTTATAGCCAATCTTGAAATCGGGCAACTTAGCATGTCTCAGAAAATCCACCCATTTGCCTACCAGCTGATTGCCAAAATTACGTGAAAAAGATCATCTCAAGAGAGACCAATCCTTCTCAAGCATCAATTCTTCATTTCACTTCAGTCTTCAAGCTTATGTTTGGTCTTTGGTGGTTTTGGGTAAATGTTGGAGGTATATCAATTTAGTACTTTGGATGCCCCAACTAAGGAAAGCGGTAAAGACTAGACTCAAAAATTCGGAGCCAGCTTGAATCATTCTCATGTAAGACCTTTTCTATATTCAACTATGTAAAATGAGTTCAATCGCTGTATTTCACCCAAAAGATCAGATCTAACCTACTACTTATCCATTTCTTTTTGTCATTTTTCACTTTGCCTGCCTTAATACACTGCACGCCAGTTTAAGGCCACGCGATGCAGACACCTCTCTCTGGTACTCTCCCAATCCCTTGAACACATCTTGAATCCATGTTCTCACTCGAATTTAAAATGGTATAGTATAATATAAGTTGGCCTACTAGCAATTCTTGGAATTATGATTTGGGAACCACGGTTGTCCGCCTTTAGTCATTGCCAAAGTGTGATAAAAAAACTCCGCTAATTTTTAACAGTAATTATCAAAAGAGTCGAAAAAATACACATCAAAACAAGGGAAAGGAAGGCGGTAATCCGAATAACGTAAGGGATAATGATGTTCGATACAACTGAGAAGTCGGGCGATCAATCTTTTGCAGTATCAAAAATTATTACTGAATGAGGAATAGATAAAAACGTAGATGCAGGAAACGTTTTGCTTCAAGAAAGAGTATGATGTGTTGACGGTGGTGGGGGTGGCGGCATTGGTGGAGGATAGGTCGGTGCCGGTGGAGGTACAAGAGACACACCCAGAAGGCCTGGAGGTGGAGCCATGGGAGGCCACGGAGCCCCAGGGACGTGCGGCGGTGGCGCAGTGGTGCCCAGGACTGAAGGAGGTATTGGAGGAGGTGGTGGCATCGTTGGAGCCAGCTAAACGAGAACAAAAAATGTACAGTAGGAAACCTTGCTTGTGTTATTCCATGAGTTTAAACCCCTATACATTTTCGTAATAGTAACCAGACCTATAGAATATCCCTCTGATTCCACTGGTCCAGGTCTAGACACCATTAAAGGCTCGGAGGAGACTGAAGGATAGGTAAATTCTTATATTCGGAGTTCAAGCACTGCATTGCATCCAAAACCGAGGTGGTAGGGTAACGATTATCAACTTTTATTCATCACCCGCGATAATTCAACTTTCTTACCTCTTATCTCTCAAACGACGAATCGAAGACTACTGTATTTTCTGATATTCTCGGTCCTTGAACCGTCCAAACTTTAAGACTTTCCTCAAAGATTGCTAAAAATAAAAACATGCCAAACCCATAATGGGATGCGTTCCCAAAATCTAACTTGAATAGATCCTGAAGTCACTCTGTGACTCACCGAGGTTGTTGCGAGCTATAAGCCTTTAAGATTACTAGATGTTAAGGAGGACTAATGCTACTTCAATATTCTGCAGTGGCACCTTATGAGAAACCCGCATTCTATCATCTCACTAACTTCAGTTAGCCAACAAGATCTATAATCCACATAAATAGATGTGAGATGATAAGCATTAATTTCATAACCTCCAAACGGGACCTTAACCACTATATCACTATAATATTCAAGGACCTACCGCAATGCCAGGAGGTAAAGGCGGGGCTGTTGGCACACCTGCGCCAAAAGCTATTGGTGGGTATGCTGTTGGGAGTTGCGGGGGAGGAATTAAGGTTGGGAATGCTGCCGGCACAGGCTGGCTCCATACCAAACCAGGAGGCGCAGCACTGGTTGTAGTAGTAGCAGCTGATGGTATTGATGCCCCTAACGATGTCGTTGTCGTTGAGAAGGTAACACTGCCGCTGTTATGATTATTGGACTGTTGTTGAAGAGCTAGGTCTACTGATGCTGAAAATGCATTCAATAACAAAATAAAGACGTCACCAACTTATAATAGCTTTGTACGACACTAGAACATAGCTCTCTAATGACAGATAGGATGGTCACAGCATTCAAATCTTAACTTCGAACCTTTTGACACTAAAACTCACTATCCCATTGGCTAATATACCCTGAGGCCATAAGACTGAAAAGTGACCGAAAATGACTACTCAAATTAGGCAAAAAATGAGCCGGATTCGAGTATTTCACATAGTCTTATCAGACAACTCGTAAAGGAAGCAGAAGTTTCTAGGACACTCTGTGTCCTAAACGTAAACGAGGATAAAAGATTCTTAACCATTAGAAACTGCAGAACGTATAATAAGTAACAATTCTGGTTATTAAATAATGAAGGGAAAGGGTACGCACTAACCATATTAATTTACTTTGCTTTTTAAGCAAATAGCGTGATTGCTGACTTAGAATACTCGTACCTTGGTTATTACGTCATCGGTTTCTTCAGTTGCTTATGCTCAATGCGACAAGAAAACCATAGGTATCAATAAACATGGCACGAAAAACGACGATATTGGCATATGTATGCATTAGCAAATGGCTTGTAGAAAAATAGAAATCGAAATAAGATAATTTTGGAGCATATGAAATGGGAAGATGACATTCCGATGAAAACTCATTACCAAGTCCCAAGTAGTAATAGAGACAACAGTGGGAATTGTGGCAAGATGGACGCCTTCCCTAATCTCCTTCTATTCCGTGCATTTTAATTAACCTACCTACCTTTCCTATTCTTAGAGACCCTTATCCCATTCCGTTCTAGATTGCGCCATCAATAAAATGCCATTTGTTCTTGCATACATTAGATAACGATACCTAGACAATATGACAACTCACAGTTTAGTGACAATCTCGGGATGAGTAAATCACAGCCTATATGAACTTCAGGTCATTTCCACTTTAATAAAAGTGCTGGCATCTTAACAACTAGTATGAATGAAATTGCCATTTCCCTAACGAGGAATCAACTTCAATTCAATCTCCTCCCCTTATTTGGTACGTAGGCTAATCTAATTGTCAATAAAATTATAGCACCATAGACAAGGCTTTTGATATTATAACAATAAAGATGGCAAACATAAACTCACTTTCTTTCTTAGAGTGGCTTGAAAAGGAAGACGGAGGAGGAGGTGGTGAGGGGGGAGGCGAAGGTGCCCTTTCAGCTTTCCTTTTCATCCCAGTAGACGGAACAGGAGGAGCAACAGCAGAAGTACTTGTAGTCATATTATTTGTTGTTCCCACATCATCATTCTTGACATCAGAGTAAATATCAAGAATTCGATGACAAATATCCTCCATCACTTCCACAGTCATACCTTCAACAAAGCATTCATACCAGGATTGATCAGAGCGGCCTTTACCCTGCCAATCCGTCACATTAAATGACTTCATTCGCGTGGCCAGGTAAAGAACCGCACAAGCGATAATCTCGGGTTCCCACTGCAAACACAGGGTCGTCTCCAGGCTGTCATTGATAAAAGACCAAGCCATTTGCACTACCTCCTTTATCTTATCCTGAGGACCTTTAAACCGCTTCGCGTATTGCAAAAGGAACCCGTATGGATGGGTTACTTGCAAATCGAATTTAATGGTTTTGAGTAGGACACGCTCGTACATCATTACCTCCTCCTAAAGAGTGTGATAAATAAAGCATGTAGCTTACTCTTGGATCACTTCCAAATGTAGCGTAATGTTGTGGAGATAGAATGCTTCGCGCTACACGAATTATGTCCCTGCACTTTTTAGGAGTCTCTTCAGCCTTACCAGCCAGCATTAGACAACACGCAGCGGTAACCTAAATCAAATAGCAATAACTTCAAACTCTTTGGACATACGTGCCGTGGAAATGCCTTAAACGAATGGCACATGTAAAAACGATGAAAGAAAACAATTGCTGTCGCCCAAGTATCATAACGAAGATGAAGCCGTGTACTCAATTCAAGAATAAACCTGGCCCCATCTCGACGATACCGTTTTTCGGTTTGTGGATCAACACCATCGCAAATTGATGGAGTACGCAAAAAATCTTCCTTTTCGTAATACCAACAGGGCATTTGCTGGAGAAAAGTAAAGATAAGATTAGCAATATGGAAACACATTTCGAATCAAGTAAACATATCTTACATGGTGATCCATAGCAATTTGATTTAAGAAAAGAGACGAGCCGAACACGAGAAGAGACAGAAGTCAACTAGCTTAAAGAAGCCGCAAATACTTGATAAATACGTGCCATCCTAAGCATTAAAACAAACAATGAGGATAGTGTTGTTGCTATTTTACTATGAAATTAATTAGCTAAAATAAAACATATTTTTATATGGGTCTAAAAATAATTCATTAGATTATATGAGTTGAACTGAAACCTCCGAATAATTCTATTTTAACTGACAATATTTTTAAAAATCTTGATTAGCCAACATTATGTAAAATTTTCAATGTTATTGTAGGTATTTAAAATTATTTAAAAACTGAAGGACGGAAAATGGAGCCGATATAATAAGGTTCTTTGGTAAAAAGTTTCCACAGTGGATTCTTTGCTAATTGCATTATTTCAATTTATAATATCTAGCCATAAGCGTAAACAACGTTAAGATTTGATGTGAATTTTTCACTTAATTTAGTAGTCCCATTCAATTTTATTCGCCAGAGTTTCTTATTTTTATTGATTTGACGCCGGCTGTAAGGCAGGCCCTTTTGGAAATGCTAAATAATATAAATCAGTAATCTTACATATTAATACTCATTGAGAATATGCAGTAAAGTTACCATAAAAATTAACCCTAAATAAAATCAGTATTCTTACTCCCTCAAGCCATGAGTGGCCCATCTTAGCTTCCCCTATTTCAAGTTACATGTCCTCTTCCTGTCATTTTCTCCGCAAAACACACGCACGTGTATACTGTCTGTCTTAGCCAATATAAAACCACAAGGGATAGAAATAAAGTGTATAATAGTTATTAAGAACGTAAGAGTAAGTTCGAATGATGATTCAATTGAATAAATTTTTTTTATTAACCTCGAATATTGTAATTATAATAATTTGTAAGTGTCATTTTGCTTTTAACTAACTTACTTATCTTAGCGCAATTTTGCGCAAAATGATTATATTTCAGTTCATTTTACCTTCTTATTAATAAGAATCCGATGGTTTCATTCGTTATCTTACTTTCCTTTACTGAACTTGTTAATTACAATTAGGTAATTATAGTTATTCTTCCCTTAAATAAACATCCTATATTGTGAGTACTAAAACTTGAAGTTTTCACGTCTTTTTGTTTCAAATTCAGCATAAAGGAAAAATTAAGATTTTTCTCTTGGTGATGGTCTCTAACATTCTAATTTTTCAGGAAAGTAAGTCCAAATGTGTAAGCAAGCTTGACATATGGATTGATTGGCTACGGTGATAAAAGCTTTAACACTGTGAAGAATCAGCAGTGAAGAAGACAATTCCACTGTTCACAGAAAGTTTGTGATATGCTTGAGCAACATAACATATCTGAAATTGTCATATATAATGGGAAAATCTCTTATTTCCCCTGTAGAATGAGGAATTGGATTTTGTAAGCTACGAAGTGGAAGTGCTTGCCAGCATACGTTTGTATATTGGTGCAGATTGTGGACTACTATGCAAGGCTTGGCAGGAAGGTTAGTGAGTATATTAACTGGGCCAGGAAATTTGATTATTTTCATCCCACTTGCTTGACACAAAGAACAATTACCATGTGTAAACTCATTTACTTCTTATCCTTACTTAATCTTTTCAAACACGCACACACACTATCCCCAATATTATTAATGTTTTAGAAATCTCTTTGGTAAGATCTCCCAATTTGGAATGGCTTCATTGTTAAGCTAGACTACCTCAATGGTATAGAGGAAATGGACTCGTGACGTGGAATACGTTTATTTAGTCTGCACGTAACTCACAAGGAGGATAGATATTATGTAAAAGTTTGGTTGTATTGACCATACTATGACTATTGATTGTTGATTGGCTGATTGACATCACCTCCGCACATTCCAAAAATATCGAGAGCACAAGAAATTCTTTGCCTCAGTCATGCCTGCATTGTGTTCCCCACAAGATCATAGACAGACTCAATTAAAGCGAATAGCTGTATTTGGAACCATTTTAACCACATCGATTTCATTAAATAAATTAATTCTTTAATTTTAATCTGTCACCATGTTTACTTTTTTAATAAAAAAATTGCTTCCGAAAAATAAGGAGCTAGATAATTTATCTTCAAAGTCGAAATATTCACAGGTTCAAAATAATTGAATACAGACCCATAGGAATTAACATTTATTTCGATAATTTCAACCAATCGACTTCAACGTGCTAACTCTTGTGAGTAATGCATGCAAGTTACCCTCAGTGTCATCAGAAGAGCATACCATTTAGCTTACCAACCGGTGGATCGGAAGTGTAAAGGTCACACGCTTGTCCATCAAGTTATAGATTTCGGGCTCACTCATCTGTTGATAATGTTATTTCAAATGACCAAAATTCCATTGGATCGATTCGGTAGAAGGGCTTAAATTCCTAGTTTGAAATCCCCACAAAGAAAAGCCCGTGTTGTGCATACTTTTGAAAATTAGTCATAGCGCTTATATGAGTTTACAAAAAAGCTTTTAGTAGGTGTAACAATGAATCATCCATTCTATAGTTAAATATGATTGCGAAATAAAGCTTTAAGAAAGTAGAGAAGACTTTGCCTTTGGGAGTGAAATTGGATGAAACAAACTGCGTGATACATTATACCAGGTCTAGAAGCGAAATTCTGTAAGAATCTGATCTAAGGTCGTCATGTCAGCTGTCGCGGATTGGTACACTAAGAGCACTTGGCTTATGCTCCGTAATCTCTATAGCATGATCTTTGAGTTTGGAATGGCTCCCGTCATTAGCTACCCTACCTCAACGATATAGAGGAAGCAGATGTATATCACGAAGCACGTTTATTTGGGATCTGTGTCACTGACACTGGGATCAGTCATTATAATACGATGAAGGGTTTGTTAAACAATACAGCAGCTATTGATTTGTGGCTGGCTGAGAGGTCTCTGCGCTCAAGACCCCACTTGTTCCCTACGCGAAAAGTAGTACGACAGCATCTTCCACTTCGCCTGAGTGCACTTAAGATATGGTTGTTCAGCCACTGCGGCGTTATGCACTCCAAATGGTCTAAATTTCCCCGATAAACTGTCTCCACACAGTTTCCACAAATAAATAAATTCTTCGAATACGGCTTCTGTGAAAAATCATTTGTGCAAAGATTCGGATACAATCTACTGGCCATATTTAGACAAGGTCATTTTGCCTTCGTGACCACTGAGAGGAAAAAGCGTTTTTAAGTGACAGGGCTCACAATCAAGATTAACACACAGGCATAATAATAAGGATTTAATAGTATAGAGAAGGATTTGCTCGAATCCAAGTGATAATTCATGAAAGTTGAATTTCGGAAGACGAACAAACAAAAAAATAAATTCATGAATCAAATGAAGCCGCCCGTTGAATACATCGGCGTTGCCCTCAGCATTTCTTTGATCCCCACGCTCCGCCATTTGTTGGTCGTTCGGTCAATCCATTTAGTTTGCTTTCCTTAATAAAAAAAGTGGACTATTTTTAAATTATTGCATATTATGATAGTTAGCATTAGGCCTTTAGTTGACTTTGGGCTTCACAGGGGGAGGGGGGGGGGGTGAATATCAAAGTCACAAAATGTCGAAAGGGGGAACAGAAGAGCGATTCACAGAAGTAAAAGAGAGAGACACAAAGGTTGAGACAAAAGGTTTGGTGAGTACTGTGGAAGTGGTCGAGTATGACCTACAGTCATGGTAGTTTGAAGTGGGAAGTCGACTGCCAGTTACTAAACTTTTCGCCGTATGAGTATACGTTGCCCAGAATGCACCACGTGGAGTTGAGTCTAATAAGAATAGCACTTTGTGGGTGTTAGTACCGATCTAATTCATTTACTTCCTCCTAACAAATTGCTTAACATGTTTTCATGTAGTGAACAGAATTCATTTCATCGGATGCTCGTCCATTGTCACAGCAATCTCCTGCCTGGAAATGTAAGCCAATCATGTTTCACTGTTTGTTTTAAAGTAGATATGATTATATTCATCTCTGCGAATCTCTCACTTACACGATACTGGTTACTACTTATTTTGAACTTGCTCTAAACACTACTCTAGGCAACCAGATGATCTCTTTAATAATTTAGTCACAAAAACCTTCCCATATTTTAGCCGTTGGTTAAGACTCTATTGCGCGTTTTTCAGGTCAATTTTTATCCTTAATGGGACGTTAACTACTTTTATTTTTATTTATATTAAATGGCAGGCGTTATGATAGTTATCATTAGCTCCCTATTTGACTTCAGGCTTCACAGAGGGGAAGGAACATCAAAGCCGACTTCAGGCTTCACAGAGGGGAAGGAACATCAAATTGATGACTTCAGGCTTCACAGAGGGGAAGGAACATCAAATTGAGAAAAATTCGAGAGGGGGAACAGAAGCATCAAAGTGAGAAAAATTCGAGAGGGGGAACAGAAGAGTAAGCCACAGGTGTAAAGAGGTGGACACAACGGTAGAGAAAAGGTGGGGTGAGTACTGTGGAAGTGGTCGAATATGATATACAGAGGTGTGATGGTAGTTTGAAGTCAGAAGTCAACTGCCGATTAGACTTTTTGCCGTATGAGTATACGTTGCCCAGGGTGCACCACTTGGAGGTAGGTCTATCGCACACCCCGCGTTAACTACATAATGTTCCAGCATTACTTAAAACTGCCTCATATTGAAGTTTACTTCTGTATACATAATATGTGAACCAGAAAAAATAGCTGATCTCAAATCAATCTTGAACGGATGGATGATCAACTCGAACATTGGGTGGTTCGAAGTAAACCTAGGATGGCAAGCACGAAAAAAATTTCGTTTCGTACTGTCTTATCCGATACTTAAGAACTCCACCTAAAAGACACTTTTATTATAAGAGGGGGCTTTTAATTCTTCACTAAAGCATAATGGTTGCAAAATATCCGCACACAGCTCCCAAACCCAACCACGCAACTTGAGAAAAACAACACAATCGCCTCTGGAGGCCTCAAAAATTGCGTTCGTCGACTAAGTAGGTCACGAGCGCATAGAATTATATCAATTGGTGTTGGCAATCTTGAGCTCAGTTGGCCTTCATTGCTCAAGTCACTCCCCACCGCAAGGTCGGTAAACCGAGCCGCGGCTTCAGGAAGTGCCCAATGCAGGAACTGTACTTGCCAAAATTTAACAATAATTTACTTTTTTAGTATGCACAGAATTTTGTCTAATCTTTTATTAAAATACAGTGTGGTATTTATATAACTGCTTGAAAAATTCTTTAAAATTAAAACACTTTCTTGCCTAACTGGTAATATACTGAAATGATTAAATAATTACTTAATTATATAAGTAGCATTAACTGAAGAGAATGCCCAATTTGCAGAATTTGCACGCACTATCTTCAAAAGCAATAGTGTTTTAATAGGATTACTGTAGGTTATAAACAACTAAGCCACCTTTCCCTACTTCAGAAAACAGAATTTTTTAATGTTATACGAATTTTTCATGGAATTTCCATTCCCCATCCTAGATGCCTTGATCAGAGCAACAGAAGCTAAGCTGTTAGCCTAATTCGGGTTGCGTTTTTTACAACAAGACTTCCAAAATACCAGTAGAAATAATAACCTGATATAACAGACAAGACTTATAAGTGTTGACTTTTAGAAATCCATTACTAAGTTGGCGACCCTGACGAAATTTGCTCAATTGAGACTCAATCCCTCATTGTCGTTGCATTTTTTAATTTCAAACAGCCTATTTGTTAATGCTGTTCCTTCTCATATAACTCGCTTCTTTCGTCTTCTCCTACTGTCACAGAATGACTTCGGAAACAGATTTTAGTAAGAATACATCGGTTACCCCTCTGTATTACTCCATCCTCGATCCAACACAATCTCACAACTGGAAAATATTTTCAAACCACTGGGTGTTACCAAACTGAGAATGCTGCTTCAGTATACTATCGCTACCAAATCAGCCAATGTCGCGTCACTGGTCTTCGATATCATCAACCAGGAGCCAGAAGAGAGACATTATCAGGCGCCGACCCCTTCCACCCACTTCACGATAGACCAAGTATTAGTAGAGTACAAAATTTAGCTCCGTTGTTAAAACCTCGCAGCAACCTGGCGTCATCACGGAACTGCTAGATAAATTAAAACTGCTTGTACCCGGCATCTCCTCCCTATGCGGCAGACGACGCTCTAAGTTTGCACTGCAAATGGCATAACATCAGTCGGTCCGCAAGTTATTTACTCGCTACCAATCCCTTCTCTAATATCTTATCCGAGTTCCTCTCTCTTTTCGCATCCATTTTGACCTCTGGCAACCCAAATATGGGGTGCGTCATCATAGTATTACCAAGGGACAGTCTGTATTCGCTACGACTGTTAAAAAGGAATTTCAATACATGGTGACATTAGGAATCGTTCGACCTTCAAGTAGTTCATGGGGTCTCAAAAGACTAACTGTCTCAGGACTCAATTATATCCCTCATATCCACGATTTCTCACTTCAATTAAAAGCTGAAATTATTTTCTCTAATCTGGATATTATTTGAGCACCAAGGCAAAAAGGATATCGCTAATCACGCTATTCGGCCTTTTTAAGCATATGCATATGCCTCTCGGTCTCAATAATGAGGTACAATCACTTCAACAATTTATGAACCGGGTATTTCGGGATTTACGCAGACGATGCGCTCATTACTGACTCAAACTACGAGGCGGATATATTTATATAACCTTTATATTTCCCGTTCAATAATAGATAAAATTTGATAATTCCTGGTTAGGTAAGCTCATTAAACGACTATTTATTAGAACCTGCTTGCAAAATTATAATATATTTCTTTGACTGATCAGAAAATTTTCTTGAAAATCATAGACATTATTGGAAAACAGTGTACATTAAGTTTTTCGAATAGTGGATCGATGGCAAATAGCTTAAATTTCCTTTACGACTTTTTCTTATAAAATATTAAAATATGTGCACCTAAGTGGCGGGCAACGAAACTTTTCCGTTCTTTCAGTATATATGGTATAATACTAGAAATAAATTTTGGTGAAATTCTCCTTGACAGAGCTCATTTCATAAAGCCACAGTCTGTTACTTGTAAAATAAAATTAGTTCAATTCTTCCATAATAACATGGAAAGTCTCCAAAAATCACATTCTTTAGGAAAATAGTTGAATTCTTAAAGGGATGTCAATAAAATATTCCAGACTACATTTATTCGACATAATTGTTATAAGGGGATGGATTTTAGTCGGCATCAGTAACTTATTTCGCTATCAAAATACTAACCACAATTGATGACCTAGGAAATTTCATAAACATATATTTTAATTTAATTAGACTTGAATCTCACTAAGGGTTAGTTTAACTTTGCACAAATTGTCTGCATTTAATGAAGAAGATACTTTGAATTATATCAACAAAGTAACATCAAACTCAGCTTATTTGTTACTGAAATAATGTTGATAACATTATAGTAATAAGTAAAGAGATTTCAAATGCATGCTCATTTACTACATTGCGGATTACATAAAATGGCACTTATACATATTCCTCATATTATAGGGTCCTTGCCAAATACAAAAATTTAGAAATTTATTTAATATTAAAAGTATAAAAATTAAAGAAATTTAAGAAATAATTTCTTTAATGTGTGGCTTAAGCTTGCTCGTCTAGACTGGTTTGTTTTATCATATTAAGAATTTGTTAGTAATTTTGTCTATTTATTCACCCTTGAGGTATGCAGAAGCCTGAAATAGAAGATGAAAAAGAGGAGAAAATTGTTGGAGTTGGTATTTTATTTTGCAGTGAATGCAACAATATGCTTTATCCTAAAGAGGATAAAAGGAATAAACGACTGATGTATGCTTGTAGGAACTGTGACTTCATGAAAAGAGCCGATAATCCTTGCATTTATGTTAATCGCCTTGAACAGGAGATCGAGTAAGGATTAGTTACTTTATTTAACTTAAATTATATAGCTGCAAAGTTTTCCCTTAATTCGTTTACTGATCGTCATATTTTGTGCAACGTTTTAGTTCTCTTTATTTACATGTTTTAAAACCCATGACAGTAAGTGGGTTCCTTTAACTTTCATGTCATATAGTTCACTCTGTTTTATTGAAATTCCGTTTTGTTCACTTTACTTCATTCCATGACTACCATATCAGTTGTCGTGCGCTTGGTTAGGAATCTCTTATGTATCTTATAAATATTTGTGCCCTATTGCAATCTATTATTTGTCAAATGCATTGCCGTTTGGAATTTCTGTTTTCTCTGAATGGATTTCATGACTTTCTCTTAATATCATCCAAAGGTTTTTGATCTCCTAGATATTAGGGAAAACATTCCAATAGGTGACGGTGTTCCGCAACTTAAGACTTTTAAAATTAGTTCATTTGAAGTCATTCAGAATGCTAAACTTTTCGCCGTATTCAAATTGCCTTGGCGATGATTTATTTACACTCTGTGTTCTTCCTAATTCTAGAAACATTTTTATTGCCTTACTGAAACAACTTTAGCCTTTCCGTGGGGAATAGTGGTTGTCTGATTATCTTTCCTCTATTTCTTGTCCTCGAAAAGCCTGTTAAATATTTTAGAAATCTAGTACAAAGAGGCTCAACCAGGATCACAATTTCTCGCTTTACATATTTATATATTTGATATTGTCAGATTAATTTAAAGATTATGGAATAATTTTAAGCGTTGGAAATGATACGTGTAATTTTGAGATTTTCAACATGAAACTGGTGGTTTCTTGATGACTTGTGTATGCACATACCAATATCTCCGCCATACATGTCAGTTATTCTTCAACGAACAAAATGCTGAATTGGTTTACCGCCACATTCTACTTCATTTCTTCTGTTCACCACTATCTGCGTTATCCTATTTCCGCTTCCACTTCTCATTCCTTTATTCTCTTAACTCTTTCCTTTCGTGTTCATTTCCAATGATCTAATGTGCACATAATTCAGCTTAACTCTTGACATCCCTTCTCAAAATAGGATTTTGTTTCCTTATTAGCCTTATGATTGCCAGTACCCCAAGAGAAGATGTTTGTTCGCGTTGCCGATTGGACTAGTGCTACTTTTACATCTTATTGGCTTAAAATACCTACTAGTTCGAACTATTTAAGAGTCCCTTTAGTTCGTGTCCATATGGTTGATAATTTTATTTTTTATCGGTTCCTTTGTAGTAACCCCACATATCCCAAGCAATCAACACCGTTAATTATCCAAACTTAATTTTCAAACCCACTATAAAGCATTTCCCATCGTTCAGCTTGATTAGAATTGTGGATACCCTCTGAAGTGGAAGTCAAACTTCGTTACCCACTTTATTACCTAAATTTAATCAATGTGGTGGTCTTTTCCGTTTATTGAGCCCGTTACCTTCTGACGTTATTCACTACTCCATTGGTGTTCGAAACTCGTACGTTTTCGAAATCAGTGGTCTCAAAATTAATGCCTCTTGTTGTTAACCCAATGAGAGAGTGGTCAACAACCCTCGTTAACAAGAGGGTGATAAAATGTGGGATTCTCGTAAGGCAATCTTCAGCATACCTTCGCCTTAACTACGACAAGTGTCGTTAAAATTCACTCTGGAAAGTTGTTAATGCCGCTTTTCCTTTTTTTTGTTTTAGCGAGTTAGCACTGATAAATCCTGATGTTATTCACGATCCTACATTGCCCAGGACCGAGGAACATCAGTGCGATGCATGTGGTAACAACGAAGCTGTCTTCTTTCAGTCCCAAACAAATAAAGCCGAAGATAACATGCGTCTCTACTATGTCTGTACGAATGTAAATTGCCTTCACAAATGGACTGAGTAGATCTTGCCTTTTGCATTCACTGCCCTCTCCACTCCCCTTTTATACTGTATATAACTTGGTACGCGTAATAACTATGCAGGTTTTCATGCATTAGATTTGCTATTTATCGATGTTTTCTTTAATTTGCGTATTCACTTGATCATTGTGTTACCTTATATAACTTAAGATAGGAAAGGGGTAGGGAGTGTGGCCTGGATGCTTTGGTGGTAAAGGCGTCTAGTAAAGGGGACCATCTTGTTGTTAGTGATCCAAGACGATGGAAGTGTGGACTGCTGCTGAAAAATGGGTACCTTCACTGTGGAAAGTGAATATTAAGGTTTAAATTCTTTCCAGTCAAAAAATCTTTCCGAAGCTAAAATTGATTTTTTTTGGGGGGGGGGGGGAGCGTATTTTGCAAAGCTGATTTGCTGCTTAACTTTCCTAAATGCCTATAATTTCCTCAGTTAGACGGTAGTTGTTCTGAAATCACAAAGTTTATGCCTTCACTAATAATAGACAGGAAGTGAAAGAAAGTCAGGTTTAGAGTGCATTTTTAGTGCAGCCTATCTCAATTTGGATTTCCTCTTTTTACCATCTTCAAGATCCTGTAATACGACAACCATTTTTGTCTACTTATTTAATATAAGTAGCATTCAAAGCATTGCTAATCGTGCCAGTTAAAGTTTTATCAGCCCTTATGGCAAATTGACAAATCATGACATTGATTATTTAGTCATTTATTTTATTAAAATGACTGGTACGAGGGCATTTTGCTAAATCTGAGCTGTTTCGAAGTTGCTCTCTGACCGTAACAAAAGTTTGATTGGTTGCCTGTAAACCGTCAAGTGGCTCGATTAATCACTTTGACGCACAGCTGACAAGTACTTTTGGATTAATTTTGGAGGGCGGTGGTTTAGATCACCTATGGGCTAAATTCGACCTTTTTATTCTTATCGGGCTATTTGCTTCTTAAGCATTTGCACTTCCCGTCTTTGCTAACATTTTAAGCAGTATGAACAAGTGTTTGCTACAATCCAAAAGGTGAATTATAAATTTTAATTTTTCTAATTATATATCATGCACACAATCGAATCGAAAAATTAAATGATGCGAGACATTTTTGCCAACCTGATCTTCTTCAGTATCAGCTTCTTTTTTATCAATTCTAAATGTTAGATCTGTGAAATTGAATATGACTTACATAAGGGTAATTGGAAATCGAAAATTCATTATCGTTTTTCTTCCTTTTTCAAAATCAAAATAAACATGTTAGCCCATAATAGGAGAACACAGAGTTTTTTGCAGTGGATTTGGAAAATAGCAGTCAGCAATCGTAGTCACATATTCTTTTAACAAAAGTATTTTTAGTCTATTTCATATTCTCTAATTGCGGTGAAAATTGCCTGACTTTTTGGGAAAACTAACACCTAATTACGTGGGTTTAGAGAAGGGGTGTTTACAAGTGGCATAAGCCACAATTTAGAGCTTTGAAACTACCAATGTGTCTAACTTAGCAGAACACGATGAACCACATTCTCTCAAGGGGGGTGTGCAATAGACTTACCTCCACGTGGTGCACCCTGGGCAACGTATACTCATACGACAAAAAAGTCTATTAACCGGCAGTTGACTAAAGACTCCAAACTACCATCACTCCACTGTATGTCAAATTCGACTAGTTCAACCGTACTCACCTCACCTTTTTCCCGACTTTGTGTCTGTCTCTTTTATGTCTTTGAAACACTCTTCTGCCAGCCCCCCCCCCATCTCGACATTTTTCACTTTGATGTTCCTTCCCATCTGTGAAGCCTGAAGTCAACTATGGCTAATGATAACTATTTAAACGCCTGCCATTTGATATAAATACATCAAATACATAAAATAAATAAGTAATAATATTGCTGCCATTTGATATAAATAAATAAACATTCTCTCAAGGATCAGATTCTCGCAAATCTCTCGTGGAATAACATTCATGATATTGTGAAGAATTTTCGTGTGGAAAGTCTTAAATTAAATTCTGTTTGTCCCATCTGCCTGAATTGGGAGTTCGGAAGAGACCAAACGTATTAATATTCGGTGTTCATGTGGCGACGAATAGGTCCAATTAATTTGCAACAAATACACCCGGTAAAAACCAAAAAATCTTTCTTTAACGTTCCCTTTTCTCGCTCACTGTCTAAACTGCTCATTCCCAACCTCTTTCCCTGTCCATGTCATTCTATTACAATCTCCTTCCTTTTCAATCCTTCGACACACCAGTTATTCAAATCAGCACTGTTGATTATAACAGAAGTGGGATTTTCCTGCTAATTACTAAAACGATAAATATATCAATTAGAAATAGATGAAATCCGCCATATTATATAAGTAACGATGATGTTGGTGTTACACTGAGACTAATACTGGAATATGCCTTTTAATCAATTGAGTGAGGATATAAATATCTTAATTTACTAAAACTTTCATTCCAATTGATATGCTTCTACATTCAATTAGGCTACTGACACCTAAAATTTGTAATGAATTTCAGTAGTATCAAGTAAGAAACGACAATTTCAAAACGACTTACACATTTGGACTACAGGTAATGCTAAAGTTTAGACATGATAAAAGTGGTCGTGGTCCGTATCATAAAAAATGATATTAGGCACATACGTGAGGACAACTGGTATTATGTATTAACTCATTTTAAGTTAAATATAATATTCATGTACTTCTCTGTTTTAGTATGTGACCTCTATCAATTTCCTCATTTTGTATATGTCCACACTGTTTGCAAAAATATAGAAAAATGGGAATTCATGACTAAAAATATAAGTAAAATCAGAAGAGCAAGGGATCCTGAAATCCTTTTATATTTCTGATAATTGAGGAACCAATTAACCATTTCGCTTATTTTGAGTTAAATAGTGATTAAAATTAAAGGCATTATTAATTTACGAGCTACACGTTATGCACATGAATAGAATGCGCCAAAAAAAGAGCAGAAAATTCAAGATAATTTCGTTGTTCTATTTAAAATTACAACGGGGATTTCATTGCCAAGACTGCGTTTAATTATCACTGATTTGAGTTTTTAGAAGTGTAAACCAATGACCAAAGTGTTTCAAAATCGAAAAATTCAATTTGATACTTTTAATAATTGTGTTACGATACGAAAATCACACAATTTTAAATTAATTATTGAATTTGCCAGGAGAGTGATAATCTATTTTTAATCATAATCTTAAAAATATTTCTTAGAGAAGCAAATAAGATCTATCCCGATCTGAATGTATAAACAAACAGCAAATTAGTATAACACATACAGATATCTTGTTTAAGCGTATAAATCGCGCATTAACATTTCACCTTTCAAGATGCCGCTCCTTCGGTTTGATAGTAAAAATGTGAAGATTGGTATGAGTATAAATATTTTGTTCTTAATTACAAATCTGTCTAAAGCCTTTTTAAGTGGATCGCTCATTTTAAAATGAAAAAGTCTCATTTCAATGACGTCTTATTTATGATACTATTCTTCTATTTAGTAAAGGAAGCCATTAATACAGAGTCTTCTAGATGCATATATGCGTATCAGGCGTTACTTCGACATTACGCAACTGGACAATTATCTATCGACGAATTATTGGATACATCCATGGAAGAAATGGGCAAATCGGTTAAGAAATGTATGAATTTTGCAAATGTTCTTCTAATGCTCTATGATTTTTTTGGAACGTCTTTTTCTGGTGCCCTAAATAACGAGAAACTCCAAAAACGTTTTGACGAGATTATAATATCTATAATTCCGATAAACAATTTGGCTTCTCGAAAATTGGCTTGGCTAATGAAGGTACGTATGCTATTAACAGAGATGCAAAAGTTAATAATAGTCTATTTTTCCGAAATCGAAAAATGGCTTGTTAGGAGTTTGCCATTTGGAAGGAATTAGCTCGTCATCTTGGATTCCAGAACTGGTATTTTATAAATATTTTAATTGCTGTTATTTCAGTCTGCTGCCGAATTAAATAGGCTCCTAAAGAATGCTCATAATGAACATAAAGGGGATTATATAATTGATTTTATTAAACGGAAACTTTCTCAAATGAATGATATAAGGGTAGATGTTTGTGAAAATATTAGCTCCCTGTCTCATTTTCTTCCAATCATTTTGCTTTTCCTTTAGGAAGCTCAAATAACAAAAAAACGTGTTGGCAAATATATCGTATTATTACAGAGGGACCATAAGTTTATACAGAGTGTTATAGATTCCTTTATTTTTCATGATTATAAAGAAAATCCTTTGGAAAAACTTTTAAAACTCGCAACCGAGACTATGGATCAAGTCAATGCTCTTCTGGTACGTTTTATTACCATTTTTGGTTTGAATTTGTTTTGCTTATCCGTTTATTTAATATATTCTATGAGTAATTTTTTCTTTATTGATTATCTTCATTTTCAACAATTTTGAGGACTTTTCTCAGCTTTTATAAGCCTTTCAACATTTGGATCTTATTTTCATTGTTATTTTTGGAGAGAAATACTTGTGTTTCTTATTACTATTATTGCTATTATTACCATTAAATGGTGAGAAATGGCATTAATGTATTGGGATTGGGAGTGGATATTTGTCAATATTTGTACGTACATCCATTTGATTATTTTAGGCTGCATTGGAATCGGATCGTGAATCGTCAGGTGTCAGTTTATTCAAAATTTTAATTGCTTTTTTATTAAAAGGCTTTTTACCCTATTATCCTTTATAGACGCGAAAAGAAGACCCTGAAAGCAAGCAAGAACAGTCAGTAAGTTTATCCTTTCATCCTAGTTTGTAAAGTTTCTGTAAACTGCATTGGTGCAAAAGCTTATTTTAGTGATAATTGAGGTTGTTTGCTATGATTGGTTATTCCATTCAAGGTCTTATTTTATATTGGGAGCATTCCTATTCATCAATTATTCGTAGCAAACATCCAGGTTATGTAGTGACATTCTCATGGAACGATTTTTTATGCAGTCTAACTCATTCTTTTTTACCCCCCTAAAAAATAAGCACAGTCTACATTGAGTAGGCGATTTAAAAGATTGATTCAAACGGCATAACCACCACTCATTTCTCATCGAGAGTTGGACGTTAGACCGCTGTTCTCAAACTCAAGTTTTAGTCCCCTCAGTTCTTTAAATTATTGCCTAATCGCGCGTTGTCGAGGCATCACTCACTATCATTTGCAGTACATTTCGACTTGAGAAGCAATTTCAATTGGTTTCTTAGACTGTGAAGGGTTGGGTGCGCCTTGTGTATGCAAATTCTCTTCCAGAAAGCTATTTTGAGCTGTTTATTAAAGAAAGCTCCCTGGAGGGCGATTAAAGTGGGTGTTCAAACATATGTGAGTGGGAAGTGGGGGGATTTTCCTTGCTCCCCCTCCTACCGGAGGCTATCATTCTACCACTTCTTCACTGTATCGAATCAGGTGAATTGCGATCAACGCCTTTGGATGTGAATGAATGTTTATCTATCCCATGACCCCGACTTGACAGACGAGTGCTTTAATCCAACCATTGGGGTCTTTACCACCCTCCTTACTGCTAACGTTGTATTTGATTTAGAAAGGAATTGTCACGTCAATTTGGAAAAGTTGCTTGCTTTCATGCAGAGGAGTTTTTTTTAAAGATATATGGGAAAAGATCGTAAAATGTTTTATTTATCAGGTTATTTTCTTGGTAATAATGAAGTATCTTAGGATATTTTTATGAAATAATTATTCAGTTTGAGTTTCGCTTAGTGTAAATGAAACTTGTCGAAATTTTGTATTTAAAACTCCCAAATCCAACTATGAAAGGGCTTTGCAACATTCTTCTTGTTGAGAGTAGTGAATTAACAACTCGAGTCCTGTAGCTCCTCAGTCATCAATAATTAACTTAAACATTGGTGTTTGACACCTTGGTTATTGAGTATACTTCCCCCATGATTCATACTCATCTTGTCTTTCGAATAACCGATTTCTCACCTCTCCCCCCTCCCCCCCCCCCCAGGCACATATTTACCTGTCTGAAAGTTCGGAGATCCTTGTGGAATAGAAGGAGGTGGAGAAGTTGCCTTCTTATCACCTCGAATTTTCGTTATTTGGAAGGCATTTTATTCGCCTTTTCATGTTAGAATAATTTGGTGAAGCACACTAAATAAATACCTCTTTGAAACAAATGCTCTCAAGCCTTATTTTATCTTAACTGCTGGCAAGTCCTCTACATTTATTGATCGAATTTTGATTTAGAATTTACCGAATATTGCAGGGCATAATTGAAATACAAACATCAGTTCCATTCTAAATGAAGTTGCAGGGGTTTTTCTTTTCTGTGTGCATCTACTGTAAGAATTGAATTACAGAATTAAACATTTATCTACAAAATGCGCAACATGCTCTGGCTTTGCTTATTATTTTATTTTTTGCATTTAAACAAATAGGATGCTTTTTCTAAGCCTGAGCCAGTGAAATCGCTCAATCAAACTTCAATGGAACTACGTAGAGATTCTTCTCAACTTCCGCCTCATGTAAGCTGCTTGTTTGTATGAAAAGCAGTTCTATTTGCACTTCGCTTCAAATCCGATAACGCAAATATCTTTTCACTTCAAAAGGGCATTGTATTCGCTTCGAGTTTGCAAGAAAACAAAACGGTTAGTAGTAAAACGTTCTTGTTTAAACTTATATTCAATGTTGGCGAAAGAATGGTGTACCTACTGGTTGCTACATTTCAAATGCTTTTAAAATACGATACCAGCAGAGATTTGTAATGCATTGCACTGTAAATTGTTTGACTCATAATGTCTGGCTTTTGTCTAGTTTGGTAGACATAATTAGGTGAACGGTAAGATAACCCGAATGATATCTTTTAATTTCATATACATCATCTACTTTATAGTAAACGGATAAATAATCTCGGGTTCGTGAGTTTTGCTGTTTCCTCAAAATATTTATTTCAAATGGCTGGCTTTATGATATTTATCATTTCCCCTTAATCTTTGACTTCAGCTTCCCCCAAGAGGGGGGTGTACATTTATAGCAGTTAATTAATAGGAGTTCATTAGCTGTCAGCGCGATTTTTCTTATAGCCTTTTGAAATAAATATTTTGAGGAAACAGCGAAAATGGCATTGTTTATTGGCAATATTTCGTAGATATTAACCCAAAATGTACATGAATCAATGTCATGTCGACAAATGAGACTTAAGATTCCTGAGTCTATTTTCGTTCACGATAGGTGTCATTCACATCCAAAAGGTTATCGCCAAGCCGACCATCGTTCTCTTCAATATGCGATCGGGGCTGTGCTGCTGATATCGTAACCGTTAGTTTTTTATCAGTCCAGGTGGTAAATTGTTCCACAAATTTAATCATCTTCATCTTGAATTAATAAGTAGTCTTCGAGGAATAGCCCAAATGTCTTCTGTCTCTCTCTTTCTCAATTGTCTCTAACCCACCGTTATCTAGTGACTATCTCGATCGCAGTAATAGTATCGACGACAACTAGTTTACGACTGTGTATGTGTGTGTGTGTGTGTTGTATAC